TCTTTCAGTCATTTCAAAGTCTGCAAATATCTTTATTAAATCATAAGTAGGGGTGGGCGGTATAAACGGTATACGGTAGAGACGATATAAATTTGGCCAACGGTAGATATTTTGACTATACCGCTCTACCGCGATAGCGCATGTTGATGATATCAACAAGCTGCGCCTGTTTTGGTCGAAAGCATTGCAGCCGCTGCAAACAACATCATCTGCAAATTATGGCAGGCGACAGTCATAGCAAAGAGACAAAGCACTTTTGGAATATGAGGAAAGCCAAAAACTGCGCTTCCTCTACTTCGGTACCATTGATTCATTAATGTTGAATTCTCTCGCAACTGTTCTATTCCCATGTTGTTGCAGTACATTAATAACTAACCTCGTATTGTGGATGAATAATCTCAGTTGTTCTCCTGACTGAAGTTTGCCCCGTGTATAACATCCTGCTATGCGATTGCATTTGTCCTTAACCACCAGAAACCCTCACGTTAACTTTTATCGAGTGGAAAAAAGTTAGCGTTCACCCTTTAGCTAATGTTATGCTAACTAGGGCTGTGTGATATGACCAAAATCTCATATCCCAATATAGACATCTATCTGTTCTAACGTTTGAGTCTAAGGTTTATTTTTATTTTTTTTGCAACAGCAGGAAACAAACGATAGCGTAAAATGAAACGATAGACGTTTTAATATCGTCATCCGATATATATCGTTATATCGAACAGCCCTAACGCTAACGTTGTTGTTTTGCAAGCGATCACGTAGCACATCAATATGTACCAGCTAGCCCAACTTCAGTAACTCTACAAACGTCACTGCTGTTTAGTTTCCTGTCTTCATTTATGTTGGTGGTGATAGCAGAGCTGTACGTTTGAATTATTTCAGAAATCTCTCAGTCAGAACATGCTATATCATGTTTAGGTGAAAACTAGTGAGCTAACTTCCTGCTAACTTCCAACTCCATTGAAATTAATAAATTCTGTTTTCATGGATGCCTGGATATTAAACTTAATTGTTACACCTGGTAAAGCAGCCACGCTGATCATTTTATTAAAGATGAAAGACTTTAGACCGTTTTAACTCTCAGTGTTCGTTTGACTTTGGAACCTGAACCTGACGGAGTTTAGGACCCAGAATACTCCGCAAGGCCCCTCACTATGTCAGCCGTAATGCTTCGACAATCCATTAAGTAGTGCGGCTTCGTAACTTACCAAAGCCGTACTAAAGCATTTTTTGACAGATTTCTGCATGCCGTGAACCACATAAAATCGATTCAAGGTCAGTAAACACAACCAGGATTCATACATAAGGCGCACTCTTGATTTTTGAGAAAATCAAAGGATTATAAGGGCGCCTTTTAGTGTTGAAAATACGTTATACAGAACAAAAGAATATATTGCGATATATATCGTTACCACACGTGCTTCAAATTATACCGCGATATGGATTTCTGCAGATTTTTTATTTTATTTTAAACTATGTCGCCTCACCTTGAGGTTGGCAAATCTGTCACTTTTTGGTGGTCAACTCTCTCAAGCAGTTTAACAGTTTCTGTTTTGCCTGTCACTATTCCGTGTCTGTTTTCTTACCAGGTTCTTCCTGGCCTTGTACTTTCTCCTAATGTTTCCCTCTTTCCTCTCTCCCTGTTTGGACTGATAAGCATACACAAATAGATGTAGATATATTCAATTAGATGAAAAAATTACATTAACGTGAAAAAATATATTATTAAGATCAGTAATAAAAAAAAAAGTCATCTCTCGGTGTACTTTCAACCAAAAGGCAAATAACCAAACCACATGTACATCTAATAAAAGATATAAATATTGAAACACTGATCTAACATTATCCTTTATTGACGGATCATTTGATCTTACACTTTTACCTGAATGTGGCTGCTGGGTTTAATATCGGCACATGCACATATGACAAAATAACCAGCTTCTCTGATTCCATTTCAAACAGGACAGTGGTAACAACAATTTTAAGTTGTAGATTTTAAATAGGCTACATAAATTCCAATGGGAGCAACAGGACGGTCAAATGTCGCTGATTTCACTACAGAGTAGGACGGACAGTGGAGTAGCAAACATCGGAAAACACGTTCTCAACACTGCAGGTTACCTGGTGTAATGTTTTTCAGCTAAAAAGGAAACATGGTCTGACTCCTACATAACTGAAGGTTAAATGCAGCTAACATGTCCTGTTTTAAGCCAGGCACTTACATCTCCGCTCTGCTGCGTCTCAGCCACCATCGCTCTGGCAGAAAGGACAACAGAGCCAGAGTAGGGGAGAGCTGGAACAGACCATTTTTTTTGGGAGGGGAGGGATATCTATACCTTTGTTTTTAAAATATTACGTCTCAACCAAATACTATATGCGTTTTATAAAGTACTGTGAATCTTTGGGGGTGCTTTAATTAAATAATGGGCTGCGCCCAAACGCCCCCGAGTCAAAGCAAGAAATATTCGA